TGGCAAAAAGGGAGCAAAAGTTAGTTTTGTGGTTGGAGGATCATTTTGCATTTAAAGTTTTTGTGTATCGTTTAGGGGAGATGCATGTAACTGTTTTTAAGCAGCATGCAGAGTCTCTTTACAAGCATACAGCAATATGTATAGTAGCCGTTATACTGAAGTGTCCATTTAGTCTTACTTCTCATTTTAAAACCGTTATCATCTATCACTGGGATACAAGTGCTTTTTAAATCTCAGATATGACCTTTTATTGTAAATGTTAACTGCAAGTTCTAGGTTGCAAATGTTCAGATGCATGTTTTTGATTCTCCTCTCTGCTTCTCTCTTCCCTATTCTTCAATGTGGGAGGTTAAAAAAAACTTAAGTGAGGTATTACAAAAGGCAAGATTCTTGCAAGTAGCAAGAGGCGGTCTTTCACAACTAAGCAAGATTCAGGTCCTCCTCCCACTTTTCCACCCCCCTCTTTGGTATAACAATGCAGAGGGATGTTACACAATCTGATGTAACTGCTTATGTAGATTATGAGGAAGTGATGAAGTCTGAATATATGAATTAAATTTCAGAATCGACTTACTTGATTTCGTGATGTTCATGGCCTATGAACAAACCTATGGATGTATAATCTTTGCTGGGGGGAAGTTTGATCCTGAAGGTGGAGAGATCAAACAAAATTTCTTTCTTAGGCCAGTATGTGGAAGAGAATTTAATTTTGCAGTGGCACACTTTAGATATGCCAAAGAATTCATGTCTGAATTAAATAGTAAACCACTTGCTACAGTACCGTAGTCTTGTGAGTTCTGAGATCTATTAATTCCATTTTTGAATGCTTAAAAGGCTGTCTGTGCTTTCTTGATTCCAGAAAACAGTAACTTACTGTAACTGTAATGTCCTCAAGTTTTTGCAGTTAGTGCATTTCATGAGCTTAGTATCCTTTAGCATCGGATGGTGATACAGTAGCTCCTCGTCCTTTTCCTATCTGTTATGCTGAGCCTCCCGACAGACACACTTTCAGTGAAATACCTGCAGGACTCAAACCACTAGAAGGCTCTGAGAGGCCTTTAAACAGACAAAATAATAATAGAAAGAAACCTTCTGCTAGATGAAAATAGTTTCTTTACCTTAAACAGTGCAGCAACCTCAGACAAATCACTGTCATCAAATTTTCAAGATCTTTCTCGTTTTTCCACTTAGGCTATATGCAGCCATGCAAGGCCTTTGTTGTTCATCAGCTACGTCACTCTCTAGGAGCTAAAGAGGAAAAAAATGTCTGTTGCTTTACTTGAGCTGAGCTTCTACTTTAGATCATATTTGCTAGTCTAATCCTGTACCCACTTCTTTCTTTTAGTCTGTACATTCTATATAGCCTCATGTAACAGAAAGACGATCTGGAATTTGAGGGAGAGGAACCAGTTCTGCGAAGTAATTTAAGAACAAGTGTCTTGGGAGGATAAGCCATGTACGTGTGGGCTATTGTGAGAGCTGCCTGCTTCTGTATTTCTTTTCAAAAATGTATGTAACTGTGCAGGTGCGATTATCTTCAACGAATGTAAGACGCTTTTTAGGCTATGTTAACATTGAACAGTGGAATATGGTTTTATGATGCCTGAATTGCCACTGGGTGAGCTAATACTGGAACAGCAGCTGACTATGTTTTGCTAGTTAGAGAAACTGGCTTTTTAGTTAGGATCATTGCAGTGTTAAATTACATTTCTGCTTTGGATCGTAGTATCTACAAATAGCTACACAGAGCTGTGTTGTTGTTTATAATTAGCTTTGATGTTTCTGCACCATGCTCTACTGAACAGCAAAGGTATTCATTTAGAAAAAGCATTTGTTATTGTTAGCTGAAATATTGAGACATAAGACATCACTGTTTCACAATGTAAATACTACTTTTTTCTCTCTAATAGCAGAGGAAAGAAAAATTATATTGGAGCTACATCAAGTTTGTGAAGAAACTGTAATACTGTGAAGTAAAAGTCTAGAAAATTCTTACAAGTTGGGGAAAATAAAAAGTGGAATCGAAAATTTTTTTTAACTTACCGGTTACATTTTGAATTATTTCCTAATGGCCATGTAATTAATTGAACAAGTGACACTATTCATTTCTACATAATACTTTCTAATGCATTTAGTAAACATTACAACTTATCATTTTGAGCAGAGGTAAAGAATTATAGGCTTCAATAATGAAAATAAGATAACATTTAAATGAATATTTAAAGATAAAACACATGAGATTTTTCTCCAAAAGTTTCACCAAAAATTAGAATTTTAAAACTGTATCAAATATGCATGTAGTGTTAGTGACAATTACTTTACCTATTTCTTTTTTATGTGAAAAGGTAGTTGTATATAACAGGACATTAATATTAATCCAAAGACTTTTCCATTTACGCCGCTTTTAACTCCCCTTTAGAAACTTACTGTTACAAATTATTTTCCAATGTCTTTGACATTTCTTCTAACTGTGGTACTGTAAAATTATGCTTTTTCTGACTTTTTGTTTTTTGATCTGAAGAGTAGGGAATAAAATGTATACAACACTTCACATTCTCCTGTTCTCAGCTGAAATTCAGGGCAGATTCTTATGCAACTTTTATACAAGGCCCCATGGGAAAAAAGGACCAGTATAATTTTACATATGTAATTTTTCATTATTTGATTTTTCTTTCCTAGAAAAATATACATTAGTCACTTATTTATGTAGTACAATGCTGAAAAAAATCTTAAAACTCAGCTGTCATGCTCATTTTAGGAAAGCTTCTAAAGTGAAAAGTGAGGGACACTGTCTTTTCTGTATACTTTTTATTCTGGTATTTCAGTGGAAGTCATGCAGGTGAAAGGGTGCTGAAACACATTTAAAAACCAAAGCAGAAAACAAATGTTGGATTCAAATAAGATTTAACAAAATAGCCATATAAACTAAACAACAAAAAAAGCTTAATGATTCAAATTTCAAGTCTAAATAAGAAACTGTAGTATTAAGGTTGCATTACTGTCCATCTAACCAGATGATGATGTGTGTGACATACGAAGGGAGGTCAGAGAGGCTGAATTGACAGAAATCACAATAGTAGAGGAAGTTATTCTCATGAGTATTGGGTAAATGGCACATTGAGGGTATGATCCTAAAACTGAATTGTTAGAAATGGTTAATGAACTGGTGATAGAGATGGCCAGAGCAACAAACCCATGAGAGAACCAACTCATGAGTTGCTCCTGACTGCTGTGTAGAACTTGAGTCAGAATGTTGCTGTCCAAGAACTGTTGACTGGAGTGTACATGGGTTGGCAAGAGCAATCCACTATTGTTGTGGACTCCAAAAAAGGTAAAGGACATCAAAATAAAGGTGCTTGCTAAAAAGAATCTAAAAATGAATCAAAGGAACAAAATCCTTGCTTGCGGTATGAAACAAGTGTAAAGTACTTATCAAAGAAAGAGTTTAGAGGGGTCAAAGGGAAGCAAGTGTGACTGAACAGAGTGTAGGGGAGGATATGAAAAGTAAGAAGGTGTTCTTCAAAAAGCATAAGCTGTGTCTGAGGAAGATAGATACAGATCAGTAAAAGAATTTTAGGAATAATATGCTAGAGGCAAAAAAAATTAATTATAAAACTTTCTTTAATATGAGGATGACATGGAGAGCTAGTAGGTAGTTGATGTGAAGAAACAGTCAGAGAAGATAAGGCCATAGATGAAGAACAAAAAGAATTTTCCTGTATCTGTATTCATAAAAGATTTCAGAAAGGTTCCTAAACTGTTTTTTTTTTTACAGAGCAAAAAGACTTGTCTCAAAGCAAATCTCAGTCTCTAACTGGGAGAAGATGTTACAGAATGAATCATCAGAACTAGATGGTATTCACCCAACAGTTTTAAAGGAACTCACAAATGAAGTAGCTGTCATTAGCAATATTCTGCTTAAAACTTTCTTTTTGGTTTAGTGAGAGGCCTTGTTAGTAGGGAGCAAATGTTAATTTTTAAATAAGGATCCAGGGGAATATCAGTCTGCTTGGCAGTTTCACTCAGTGAATCAGTAGAAATTGTAATTAGAGATAGAATTAGTGGATAGGTATGTAAGTATAATATGCTGGGGAGAGTGAAGATTGTGTTTGCAAAGGAAAAGCATGCTTTTTAAATCTATTGGAGTTCTTTCAAGGTATTAATAATCAAGGGAATATTTTTTAAAAAGGTATTTAAAAAAAAGTTACCTGCTAAAATTCAGTGTTCCTTGAATTGAGTTGTAGCTGTTATTGCCATGGGGGAGATGCATTTGGAGCAGGATATGTGGGATAGTTGGTACCCATGAAGACATACGTGCTAATGTTGTTAAAGTGACATAGAAGAACTATGCAACTTTGTAATGGGGAGTACATACTGGTTTTTTTTTCTGACTTATGAGTAGGAATAGAGGGAGTTAATTTTTTGTTACGAGGCTGCAGCTGCCTTATTCGGCTTAATTGCTCTCTTACTTAACCATATAAATCCAAGGAAACTCGTTAAGTACTTTAGTAGTTTCCTTATTATAAGGGACTGTGAAGTAAATAATGGTATTGATGGGCTATTGGTGTCTTGATGCTTTTTAAATAAACATTTCAATGAGTAGATTTCAAAACTTGTTTCAGTTATAGTATTTGCAGGTTTCAGGAGGACTGTTTGGTTTATTTGCTGTTGATAGTTTTTAAAGTAATCTTTGCAACCAAAATCTAACTATTTTAAAATGATACATAACTGTGTCATTGCAGAAAGTTACTTCTTGTAAGTATGTTTGTGCAGTTCATGGTTTCTGCATTTATTTTTTTTTCTGTAAATATATTTTCAAATTCCCTACACCAATAACGATAGACAATTTTAAAAATGAGGAACTTTGTTTTTATGTTATATTCCATTATTTTGATCGCCTTGTTCATTTATGTATTTCCCTTTTAATAACAAGAATACTCCTGCCAGTTAGGTGCTAATAGCCTTAATTATTTTATATGTTTTTTTCCTTTTTTCTTAAGGAAACTCTGAGCTGAAAGATAAAGAAGACCAGTTTGGAAGAACTCCACTTATGTACTGTGTACTGGCTGACAGGCTGGACTGTGCTGAGGCATTGCTGAAGGCAGGAGCAGATGTTAACAGAGCTGATCACAGCCAAAGGACTGCTCTCCATCTTGCTGCACAAAAGGTAATAAAATAAAAAGTGCTCTGGCATTACAGTGCCTTGCGAAGCAAATAAGCAAATAGTATGTAGAACCTTTGGACACTTGAATTATTGTAGAGACCAATAATGCTACAATATTAGAGTTTAAAAAAAAAACAAAAAACTTAGCCCATGCCAAAGTAAATCTTCAGAGGTTTTTTTTTTTTTCTTTTTTACTCAGTGCATTTATAGAAGTTTGAAGAGACAGTTTGCTTCCTTGCTCTAAGAGCTCTTACTTTCTAGGAAAAAGCAGTTCTTGTCTATTTGAGGATAGTTAGTTCTAAGTAAAGACTTAGAGCTTTGTTTTGCATACACTGACACTGGTTAGGATGTTACCATTCATTTCGGTGGTTATAAGGCCGTATAGTGTTAATTATTCATGCTGTGTGTGAGGTTTTCAAGGGCATGGAGTACCAAATCAGTGCCAGGACCAGGAGGGAAATGCATTACTACCTGTTGTTGCTTCTAAAATTTCAGTCTATAGTATCATCAAATTATATTGTCACAGCAAAGAGGTGCTAACAGAAGTATTCAGCAGTAAAAGGTAATTTAAATTTTAATTTCAGTGCTTCAATAACTTTGAGTGTGCTTAAGACTAGGGAGAAATGTCCACAATGATGGAGAAATGAGCAAACTGCTGATGGGGGGAGAAAAAAACGTGGGTTGGCTGCCTAGTCAAGACTTGTGAGTTCATAAGCTAAATATAAAAACAAGTCCACAGAGAAGATAAACTCAAACTGAAAAGAAGTTTTTACTTACTGTTCTTCCTTTTATACTATGTTTGAGAATGTAACTGCTTGAAAGTTAAGGTTGTTTTGACAATGTAAGCTGTGACTTTTGGTACAAGTAAGGTAGAGAGTGCTTGTCATGGTTCCTGTACCATATAGAACCAATAGAAACCACTTCTATTTATAATACCTTTTCACCTGTTCATAATCTTCCATAGTGTTCAGCTGTCTTATGTGTTTTTTAATATACTCTGCAATTTTTTATTTTTATTTTAGTCAGAGATACCTAAAGGTAGCCACAGTGTGGTAACAATATTTAGTGAGGCAGGATGTATGCATTTGAATAGAGAAGTATTAGATAAGATTATAAGAAGATGTGACCACAAGACAGGAAAGGTATGCTATGATAGCAGTCCACTCTGTGAGCCCATCATCGATGTCCACAGCAGTTGGCCAGGTTGACCGTGCCGCGCCCAGCGCTCCTCCCATTAGGGAGGGGAAGACGTCTCAGTTTTGCTGCTGCGGGGTATGGAGGGTGTTGTGCAGCCTGGGATCCTGGGGCAGATCCCTCCTCCTATCAAGTTCCCCTGTAGTAAAATAAACCACACCCGCCTCATCATCCCACAACCTTAACAGCCACTCTAATATCGCTCCACAGGACTGCGCCTGTAGTGCCCCTGCATAATCCTGCAGCTCTGATGCTTAAAAATTGCAAATAGTTGTGGTCCCTTGCAAACTGGCCGCATTTGGTGTGATAAGATGCTGTTCTGCCACTGGCCAGGCAGCTGCCTTCCCCTCATGCTCTCTGTCTGATTCTGAGCTGGGGGGCTCATCGGAGTCCCAGATATTGCTGTTCCAAGTTTCTGGATCCCAATCCGCTTTTCGCACCAGTGTCCGCACAGCCAAGGGATAGATATCTCACTCTCACGCTTTTGCTGCCAGCAATTTGCAATGTCGGCGGCCAAAACGGCAGATTGGTGGTCCAGCTTCTTGGCTCGACCCGTGGTTGCAGTTGCAACCCCTTGGGTCAGTTGGTGATCCTCCTTAGCTGCTCTTCCATCACGTTCCACCTGCCTGTTTCACTGGTGCTGCATCAGCAACACCTCATCCAGGGTGTGGAGTGCAGTCAATAAGAACCTCTGCAGATCCCCTCCTGACTTGAATGCCACCAGCCCTGCTTTTTCCAATCAGAGCATGGAAACCAGTTCCACAAGCCTCTCTGGTGATATCTCTGGCTCACTCTCTAACTCTGGCCGTGCTGTGGGGGTGACCCACCCCACCAGCTTGCGAGCCGTGGGTGCCCATTGACCTGTAGCGGGCCACCTGGGAATGCCGCTCCCTACCTCCCCCTTGTGCTTTTGCCCCCAAAGAGGCATCTGCACACCGGTGTCCTGCCAAATATGACTGCAGGGCAGGAAAGAGGGGGTTGGATACTAGCAGAGAGAAACACTCAAAGCACATAAGGGGTTAAACAGAATGGATTTAATAAAGGAATTGCACTCCAAGCTGCACAGGGAGCCCTGGGAACTGCGCAGAGAGGTCACTGGTGGGAAGTTGCTGGTTGCATGGGTCAGACTTCCAGGTGGGACTCAACTCGTTGCATTCTAAGGGCCCCTTAAACATACTAGAACTATTTCCTAATCTCAGCTGTGCTAACCTTGGGTAGCTACTGGCGGAGAAGCAGCTAGATGTTGTTGACAAAATGGAATAGGCCTGTCTGGCCTTGATGGGAATTCGGTCAGTGCACAGAGGGCACACTCTGGGGCTGCTTTCCTGTACTGGTCAGATCTTCTGCAGGTGTTCTTACTGCAGATGGCAATGTTCAGTCATACTTTCACTGAATGGGTTTCCATAGGGACTATGTGGTCTATGTTGTTGCATCTTGAATTGGGAATTTAAATATTCTGTTAATATTTTAAATTTGCAAACTCTGCAGGTAAGCTTAGATAGTGTTAGCCATTTAAAACTAATGTCGATGCATTCTTAAAGTGTGTACAGTAATGCACTTCATAAATGAAACTTGACTAATACTGTAGTTACAGTAAGTTATAGTTTAGTTAGAATAGGCTAAATGATCTATTCAGTCACCTTCTCTCCCCCAACACCCTGATGAAATACTTGTCATCATCATAACCTTGTCTCTAATGTACAGAGGTTAACATCACATTTCTAAGTGACTAGCTTACTTGTTGTGAATGTATTGTTCCAGTGCATTCCATAAATATAGCAAAGTCAGAGACTTTTTAAATTGCTGTGAGATACTATACTTACCTGGTGTTCATGCAAACTTTAGCTTTTATGACCTGATGAGCAAATGAACGTTTTAATCGTATTGAAAACTTAATTTTATTAAGTACATTTGCTTCAGGTAATTAAAGATACTGGGTTTTTTTCTTTTAAAAAAGCGTATTAAAACAAGATAAATTCCTATTTGAATCTTTGTCTGTTTGTTCATGTTGTGGGTATTTGTATTGCAGCTATTCAAGGCAGAGATATTTTGCCTTAGCCAAAATGCACTAGCTGCCTGTGCTCTTTCTCTTCCTTTTTTAGCATGCCACAGTCACGAAAGGCCAGTTTGTACCATGTGACACCATCAGACCTTCTTAGATGTGCTGAAAAAAGCACAGCAGCTGAAAAAAGAGGTACCATCTTTACCTCATACACATGGAGAAAGTCCTTACAGCTGCTTGTCATTTGGCTAACTTAACTATATTCTCAAACTGCATTCTGTGCCTTCTGAGCAGTTTTTTACTATTGATGTCAGCTTATGAAGTTAAGATTTCACGGATGTAAAATTTTGTCTTCGTCCTTTCCTTGTTAATGTTTTAAGATCTGCATTTCTATCATGAATGCCTTCTACAAAATATATAAAATTATTCAAGTAATTGAATACTGTATGGAACAAAGTTACTTTGAATTTTAATGTTTTGCATTCTCATTATTCCTTTTTCATACTTTTGGTTTATGTTTCCATCTAACAGGAGGGCTAAATTTTTTTTTAAGTGAATGCTGAGATTCTCTTCTGTAACCCCTACTGAAAGTTGGTTTTTAAGAAGAAAAGGAAAAATGCAGAGATTACCAGTTTTTACAAACTTATTGTCACTTATTGGTTAGCCATGAGTCTACCTATTTACCAAGGCCACTGTCATGCTTCTGTTGTGTTCAAGCTTGCAAGTCAGTTGGTCAATGTCCTGAGCTTCTTCAAAAACAGGTTAGCAGTTTCTAGGGCTTTACATGACTTTATGACTACAAACGATTGGAGAATTATAGGGCATTTACAGTGACAGTGTTTAGAGATTCAGAGTCCTAAACACACTTCAAGTTGCATTCCTGTTCTTACTTTCTTCTTTGGAGAGAGAAATTAAGATTAAAGATTAAGACTTCTACATGCAACTGGTGAAGATACACAGGCACGAAAGGGAAAAAAAAACAAAAACACTTCTCACCCACATTCTGAACTAGAGGAAATAGACATAAAATCTAGTTAGATTTTTTTCTTGGGTAGGAACTTCCTTCACTATGTACTAGAATTACTTCTCCCTTGAAAGAGGGGGAGAACTGTTAAATGGAATTTTAAAAAAAATTATGTTTGGGGGGGTGTTTTATATATATACATATGTATGTGTGTATTTACATATATGTGTGTGTGTGTGTGATATGTAACAGATTCATAATTACCTGTGGGGACAGGACTGATAGCATTTTCAAAAGGTCTGGACAGTGGGTAAAAAGTTCCTGGCTTGCATTGTGTATGTGCGTGTGTATTTGGGCGGGGGCTTTTTAAATTAAAAAAAAAAAATGCATTTTTCACTTTCTTGTCCAAATTCTGGGATACACAGTTTGTTGAGAAGGAATTTTCTTCATCTTTATTCAGTCTTGCTTTGTGACTCCAAACCTTGGCCAGCATAAAGATGAAAAAAAAAACAGTAGGCAATGCAGGATTCGTCTTCTGGTTGTATGTAAAATATGCAGCTCAAACTATTGTACTGTGATAAATTTTACTAGAAAATTCTGAAAAAAAATTGCTTAAAATAGTTCCCTAAAATTTAGTTAAGAACAAAAGTTAGCTGTTTCTTCCTTTCCTCCCCCCATTTCAATGTAGCTCTGGTTACAGGATTTTTGTTTCCTTGGAATTTCTGGTGGTTTGTCACATTTTATATGTGTTGAATGTATTAATGTTTGCTCACTAACACTTTCCCTGCTGTTCCTTGGCTGCAAATCAGAATTAATAGTTCAAAAGGTTTCTTTGAAGTGGCT